AAACATTTCCCATGAAAAATAACGTCCTGGTATCAAACACACCCCTTATGTTAGTCCATCTTGCCTTGTAACTTCGTGTTGATATCCTATTATACTCTCAGGGTAAACTTCTCGATGGACAAGAAATAGTTGTGAAGAGGCTATCAAGAAGCTCGGGGCAAGGCATAGAAGAATTCAAGAATGAGATTGTATTGATCGCAAAGCTTCAACATAGAAATTTAGTGAGGCTATAGGGATATTGCTTGGAAGGAGATGAAAAGATACTCGTCTATGAATTCGTCCCCAATAAAAGCCTCGATTATTTCTTATTCGGTTGATTTTCATCTTATAACATTCATTTTTGTGTATTTTTTTATTGCTATAATCGTCTATTTGTGTATTTTTCTTATTGATATAGTCGTCTGTCTAGAAACAACCTCTTGCAGAAATACAAGGTAACGGTCCTTGTAGAGTAATTTCAACAGATCTTTAAGAAAAAACTCAGTTTCTGATCAAATTTTGTAGGTCCTGAAAAGCAGCAGCTACTAGATTGGTCGAGACCTTACAAGATTATAGGAGGGATTGCGCGTGGACTACTTTACCTACATGAGGATTCTCGTTTAAGAATTATACATCGCGATCTCAAAGCAAGCAATATACTGTTAGATGCATAAATGAACCCGAAAATATCAGATTTTGGAATGGCAAGAATATTTGGAATTGATCAAAGTGAAGAAGTAACAAGTAGGATTGTTGGGACATAGTAATTTTTAAAGACTTCCAGCTTTTTCCTTTATGAATACGCGTTTTTTCTAGCTAACCATCGTGTTTGTTTGTCGTTGTATAGTGGTTACATGTCACCGGAGTATGCAATGCAGAGGGGCAATACTATGTTAAATCAGATGTTTTTAGCTTCGGTGTTCTGCTTTTGGAGATCACAAGTGCAAAAAAGAATAGCGCGTTTTACCAATCAGATGGAGGTGAAGATCTTCTAAGCTATGTAAGTCTTCCGTTTACCTTTCTATCCGTAAGAGCTCAACATGTATCCAACTTGACTCTGATATTATCCATGGTTTTAGCCAGGCATGATACATT